TTGTATCTGAAGTATAAACTTCATGGCTACGAAATATTCCTATGAAGTACTACAACTAAGGATAGAGGCGTATTTGATGACTAATATATTAAATCACTTAGGTAATTTTTAAAAAGAATTTCTATTAGCTATAGCCACTTGTCTGAATTTTTCAGATGAGCTCTACTAAATATAAACTCTATTCTGTTCCATATTCAAAAATCATGGACTTCTTCAATTCTTATCACTTTATGGACAAGTTTAGGGATTTCTCACACTTAAGTTCACTCTCTTTTTCTAGTTTTGCATACCATGTCCTTGATGATCTTAACCTAGTAGTAAAGTAGCAATCATAAATTATGGAAGACTAAATTCTAGGCCCTTGTCAAATTTTGGCCAACTGCCTGTTCAACAGACTTTTTCAATGCCCATTATCGCAGCATATTAAAAAACAAAGCATTAATCAAGCTCAAAGAAACAGAATGTTCCCTAAGGCAACATAAACCTCTACAACTGTGTTACACATATTCTGGGGACAAGTTTGGACTACAGAAACTGCCCATAGGCAGGTTGAGGATATAATTCAGTGATAGAATACTTGCCTATCATGCATCAGGTCCTGTTTTCAATCCTGAATATGAAAAAAATACCTCAGGTCATTTTGTAATTTTAATAAAAATGCTATTGATTTCCACTTTTAATTTCCATCTAATGACTGTGTGTATCATCTCTATGCTCAGGATTTAATTTTATTTATCTTATTTATGGAATTTATCTGGAGACAAGAAAGGTGATAGGGTTTATTCTAAACTCACTCGACATTTACTTATATAGGATCTATTATTATATGTGCAAATACATTAGATATACACTAGCTTACCTTGCCATTGCTAGAATTAGAATGCCAAGCTTAGAATGCGTAGAAAATTAATTTCAAAAGAAAAAACATGCAACACGGATCAGGTGAAATTTCTCTGTATTGTTGGTACAGTCAGATTCTGGACCTAACATAGATATATAGATATGTAGTTTTGAATGACTTTATACCTGCAGATAGAACTTATAAATGGCCAAATGTAGATGTTCCCTACAAAAATAGAGTTCTGGTGCTTTCAAATTACGGATAAGGTATAACATTTTATTGTGACTGACAGAATAATGCTGCTGAAATAAAAGTTTGCTGTCATTTGTTCTCTCCTGAAAGACCTGAAACACTTCAGTTTAAGTGTCAGATATAGAACATAACACAGAAAAGAAAGGAACCTGATAGTCCTATCTTTATAATAAGGGTTACAGAACAGTACAAAATTATGTGTGGGTAGAAGTTTGTTTATATAATTGCATAAAGGCAGTTGTCTGAAATGTTTTAATTATGCCATGTGTTTTGCATTAAAGGTTAGATAATTCTCAATTGAATAACAGAACTGTTTATGAATTACCAGTTATTCATAGATTTCTATTAGAAATTAGGTTTCAGGGCTGGAGAGATGGCTCAGTGGTTAAGAGGCCTGACTGCTCTTGCAGAAGACCCAGGTTCGATTCCCAGCACCCACGTGGCAGTTATGAACCATCCTTAACTCCAGTTCCAGGGGAATCCAACAGCCTCTTCTGACCTCCGTGGCATTGCATGACTTGGGTACACTCACATACATTCAGGCAATACACTCATACACATAAAATAAAAATAATAAATAAAAATATTTAAAAAGCCGGGCGTGGTAGCACATGCCTTTAATCCCAGTACTTGGGAGGCAGAGGTAGGTGGATCTCTGTGAGTTCAAGGCCAGCCTGGTCTACATAGTGAATTCCAGGACAGCTGGGGCTACAAGGAGACCCTGTCTCAAAAAAGACCAAAAAAAAAAAAAATTTAGAAAAAGAAACAAGGTTTCAATTACATGAGTTACTAGGAGGCTCGGCCAACTGTTTCATCATTTATTTTCAATGATATTCATCCTAAAAATAATTTTTGTAAGACTCATGCTGCTGACTATCCCAAGATTATTTCCCTTCAGTGCCAAATTCTTCATTTGTGCCTTTCTTATTTCTTCCATAATTTTCCTTGACAAATTAAGCTTCTCTTACAATACTGTCTTCATTCCCCTCCCTCTTCAGCTCAGTTTAGTTTCATTCCTAAAAATAAAGCTTAACACAATTCTTCCCCAAGTCTCCTTCCTTGGCCTCACCTCCTCTGTCCATCTTTACAGAGTAATGGTCTAGAGCTCTCCATTCATCTCTTAGAATCCAGCATCTGGGCTTCTGTCTTCAATGCCATATGGAATTCTTGAAGACAGAGATTTCCTGGCTGTCATGTCCTGCGACTTTTTTAGAATAACACAGGATATTCCCTCCCTAAAGCCCTCCTCGTCTCTAGGTTTAATGACATTTTTATGTATCCTGTTTCTTCTAGCATTATGAGTTTTCTCTAACATTAGTGCCTTTCACACTTCATTCTTCTGGATAATTTCATTTTTCTCTGTGCTGCTATCTAGATATCAATACTTAAGAAATTTTATTTATTATTTTTATTTTATTTGTATGTCTGTATTGCCTGCATGTAGGTAAGTGCACCTGTGTCGTGCACTGCCCGCAGAGGATAGAAGAGACGGTAGGTTCCCCTGGAACTGGAGTTACAGTCAATACTTTTTAACATTAGATGGTTCTCAACATTGATGAGGCAGGAGAAATAAGAGCGCCTCAAATATTTCGGTCTGGGGCTTTCCTATCACTCCACTGAATCACTCCTCAGGGAGAGAATGGCAGAAGATGTATCGTTAAAGAACTCTTATGATGCTGACAGCCAGGACTACAGGTATTCATGGAGATCTATGACAGTCCTGACTACTCTCTTCTTAACAATTTCACAGCTTCTGGACCTATTATCACTAAGGTCATCAATCAGTAAGTCTCAATTATTGTAAAAAATAATTCTGTCACCAGATTTGGGAAAGATCAACAATAGCGAGATTCTTACTGAAAAACTTCTCAAAGTCACATGCATGCCTCATACCTCTATGGCACGTGTCAAAGTTCTCTTCACCCCGTTAAAATGTGTTGTTTACATTCAAATTATCTGCTAATTTCTACACGGTACTAGCAAGCCAGTATAAGGCACTGCTCTTGACATTTCTCTACTTAAAATCCTTCAATTATCTTTGGATTGCAAAGCACTTAAGACCTTCTTACGAATACTAGGCAAGTGCTCTACTGATGAGCTACATCCCCATCACATTGATGGCCTTATAAGATCTGGACAGAACCTTTGCTACATTCCCTCTTACTGTCTGATGCAGAGTATGGCCTCTCAAGCCAGGTATATTTAGGTTTCAATAATGTTTAGCCATGGCAAGTAATTACTTTAAAAAATATTTTATTGACTCTTTGAGAATTTTACATAATGTATTTAGATCACATTCAAACCCCTCCGTGTCCACCCCCACTCTACCACCCCTGACTTCATGTCTTCCCTTATTTTTCTTTATTTATTTAGGAAAATTCCCATTGTATCACTTATTATTTTCATTATTTTTAAATTTTTATTTTTTAATTTTTGCAAATTTCATACGGTACATTTTTTATCATATTTAGATACCCTCCCATATATGTAACCTCTCTACACCCCCATCAAATTTCTCTAATATATACACATATTATATACACATTTGTGTGTGTGTGTGTGCGTGTGTGTGTGTGTATGTGTATTAAGGTCTACGGAGTCAGGTGTGTGTCCCCAAATGTCCTTAAGTGTGGGTTCATCCACTGCAAGAGTCTTACCCATAAATGAAACTGAATCTCCCCTTCCTAGCAATCATCTGTTGCATGGCAAGTAATTTAGATCCTGCAAGTCTAGTTTGCTTCAAAATAGAAGAAAGGTAATACTGCTTCCACCTAAAAAGACTGTCTAGAAGAGTACATGCTTTATGTGGAAGGGCATGCTATTATCTACAAAAAACAGTTGCTCTCAAATTTCAGTACATATTATTATCAAAAGGAATAGTTCTTACAAATGAATGTCTGAGCTATGTCCTGAACTTCAGTTGGTACATCTCTGTGGGAGTCAAGAATTATTACCTAATATGGTAGTCAACAGCCACATGTGCTTAAAGTACTTAAAATATAACTGTTACAAATTGAGATGCACTGTACCACATTCAATAGACAATATCACAAGAACAATGCTAAATATCTCATTAACTTTAAAAACTGGTTAAATGCTGGAGTGATATTTTACATGTATTATCATAAACATAAAACATTATACATTAATTTTACCTGTTAGTTTTTGCTGTAAATTCTAAGACATTTAAAATGACACATGTGGTTTACATTGTATTACACTGAACAACAGTGAGAAAATAACACATTTTCAACAAGCACTCTGGTAAGGTATCTCTCTCCAAGATCTCTTTTTGATATACAGTGAACTCCTAAACTCTTTTTATCCTCAAATGCATGTAACATTGTGGGCAGTTAACTACACATTGACTGAATTTAGTTACATTATAAAGCTTAGGCCATTAAATAGTTTTGAAAAAAATGCTTTGTTTTCATTTTTCTTTTTCCCAGTTCCCAAAGAATTATTTTTGAACTGCATTTACTGAATCAAACACAAACTGAAAACTATCCTACATTTGTTCTCAAAAAATAAATTTTATTTTCTAGAAGAATAAGAGTTTTCCTGATAGTTTTTTTTTTTATGTAAAAATAGGTCATTTGAGTAAGATTCCAAAATTGGTGAACATCACCATGCAGGAGTTTTTTTTAACAACTAATAACACAAAACCAGCAATACAACTAAGTTTTAAGCTATAGTAATTTAGTCAAAGGGAGAAAGGAAAAAAAGAGAAACATCTGAAAAGAGTCTCTCTCTCTACTCAGGGATAGAAAACTAGTTTTCTGAAGCTGATGTTGCAATGCAGAATGATGCTGACTGTAATGACTATGAATAGCTAAAGAGCCTCAAAACTGAAAATAACTTTCAAAGAATATTTAGCAATATTTTCAACACAGAATTTTTAACTTACCTCATTGCCACATTGCTGCCATCGATAACGATGGGTCTCAGATTCTCACCATCATCTGTGACAATCTCTTGCATTGGAGATTCAGACCTCTGAGATTCTAGGGATGAGGTTTCCCGCATTATACTGTTAACAGCACTAACTGTTTGAACATCTTCACTTTTATTTCCAAGTTTGACAAGTTCTCCCAAGATATCATTGATTAAAGCATCAGTACCAAGTTTGTTTAGCACAAGCTGAACTTGTTCTTCGGAATAACCTAACTTAAGTGCAAACTCCAGCTTTGTTTGGTACTCTCGTACCACATCAGGGGGTTTTTTCACTTCCTTGGGTGGAGTGTGGGACTCTTCTGGTTTAAAGTCTTGCAAAATTTCATTGTGTTTGAGTAGGTGAGGCTCTAAGCAGGGGGACCTACATAGTCGTCTATGAGTCTTGGCTAATAAGCACGGCTCTGCTGCAATGCTACTCAGTTGCTCTGACTCGTGATCAGAACTTGTGCTTTCTTCAGAGTCCCCAGAGCTCACATTCTCTTCAGATACCTCTTTTTCTTCTTTCTCTGCATTAACTGCATCCATTGTTGGCTTCTCTACCACTGGCCAAGGTACAGCTGCACTTATCTGTGGGTCAGTGCTCTCCACATAAAGGTGGCCCAGGTCATGCCCCAGGTGATCCTTCAAGCCCATGAAGCTGTTCCGCGTACTTGACTCCACTTTGCTGCTTTTCCTGTATTCTTGAATGCAAAGCACCCCGTATTCCTAAAGAAAAATGCAAAATATTTAATGTATCAAGCTTACTGTTTGATTCTTGCTTCAGTGGTAAGACGGAATTGCTACACTACTGAATGCCTGCTTTGTATTTTGTCTGCAGCCTCTCATCACTCACAGCGCCCTTGCCAAGACTCCTTCAAATGAATTCCTCCAAGGCAACAAAGTAAATAAGAAATGAAACTGGAGTTTTTACTCAGGCTTTTGTCTGATTCCCAAACTCACGCTTTTCCCATCACACCATGCAGCGTCCTAACCTTGGTGCAAGGGGCTTCCCCATTTATGTCCTAGAGTAACACCTGGAACATCATTGAAAAGATGCTTACATAAGCATTGGCCAGTAACATGCATTTGCTCTAACAGGATTGATTTATTTTTTTAATCTATCCAAATCATTTTAATGTGAAAGCCATATGAAAAAAAATCAGCTTATCATACAGGAAAAATCATCAATTTGGATGAAATTCAGCAACAATCTAAAGTATCAAAACAGGGAGATGGGCATGAAGTCCTAGCTGAGGAGCTGTTGTTGGTATCTGAATGCTAGTGGGAGAGAAGAGTCCATTTTCTTGAAGGGTCTACCCCTGGTAGACCAACTACACTCCAGGGCAGGGTTCCCCACACAAGAGCATGAACTGGAAAGGTGTGTGTATGTGTGTGTGTGTGTGTGTGTGTGTGTGTGTGTGTGTGTGTGTGATGTGATCAAAACAAACAATATGAAGTCTCATAAGAATTATTCTTTTTAAAAAAGTATCAAGCTAAGTGTGGTGGCACACGCCTTTAATCCCAGCACTCGGGAGGCAGAGGCAGGGGGATCTCTGTGAGTTCAAGGCCAACTTGGTTCAACACAGTGAGTTCTAGGACAGCTGGGGCTACAGGGAAACCCTGTCTGAAAAAGACCAAAAAAAAAAAAAAAAAAAAAAAAAGGAAGTATCAAAATAATGTAGGTATTTAAATGAACGGTACATATTCTAACATGTGCCAACAAGGAAATAAATAACCACACAGCTAATTATACCCTTTGACCAAACACACTGATGCTTGCCTACGATCCAGCACTTAGGACACTGAGGCAAGAAGATACTAAGTTTGAGACTGACTTTTGCAGCATCCACACAGTGAGTTCCAGGCCAGCCTGGGTTATATAACAAGCTGGAGTCCAGCATGGAGGTGATCCCATTTTAAGAAAAAGCTAGTTACTTCCCCTTTAGAAATGAAAACAATTTTTTTTTCTTTAATGGTCATGACTTTGTGAATTGTGAACATGTTAACAGAATATAATCTTTAATATGTTGCTTTATTAAGAGGCAGGGAAACTGTAGTCTATTTCAGTCAAGGAAAAAAAAGTCCTTTTTGTCTATATGCATTTATTGAGAGCAAAGAAATTAAGTATTTCACATAAAATTAGAAGTACACTAAATGTTTTATCAGTTTCTTGACTTTTGTGGTAGGAAATATTTTTGTATTGCTTCAGATTAATTAACAGTATATCGGCATTTCATTAAAAAGTTGTCTTTCCTCCTATTTTCCCCTATAGGATTATTTTTATGATCTAAAATGCTTTTGCTGTTATACTGTTTTCCCTTAAAGCCTATGGGAAATAACTGCTATTTCTCTACCAGGGATAGGTTAGAAAAGTAAAGTAGTTTTCTCCTGTGCTTCACTTGAAGGACTCTCCCAAAGCAGCAATGTGCTGGTTAGGCAATGCTAGTGCTTCCCCACCTGTAACATCTGCAGACCAGCGGCAGCTCAATGTGGGGCTGTCATAATACACCTATTTCAATATTTTAACGAAGAAAATTGGGGAAACATTTTCTTCTAAAGTAAAGCTCTTCAACATAATATACACACTAGAAAAGAGGTATTATATAAATGATGAAAGAAAACACTTGATTTTATGAAAGGTTTGAAAGTATATCTGATAAACGAATTAAAAATCTGATATTTTTACATACTGCAATGAATATTAATTATGATAAATACTGGAGAACATGCAATCTTTAGGAACAGACTTAAAAGTCCCTTGGCATTGAACTCCCACACATTTCTATAGGAGTTGCTTCAGGGTTTATTCTTTGAGAATAACTCTATTAACATTATTCTACTAATACAGCATCCATTAAAGAAACTTCAAACTTCTCTAGTTCCTGAATGCCGCACATTGATAAAAGGAAGCATCTTATAACAGAGTTCGTGTACATCTGCTTCATTATGAAGCTGTATCCATTTCAATTTTTCTATTACTATGGCTATGCATGGGCTCAACTATTTTGAATTAAGGAAGGGATTTTGAAAATAAATCTGTACACCTCATGATTTATTAAGTACTGTAATATACTAACACCATAATGCAAGTAACAAATCACAACAGCATCCTAATAATGGGATACAGTTAAAAGAAGAATCCACACTGTGGCCTCCATAGAGCTCCACCAAAAGTATCTTAAATAAGGAAAACCTATTGGAAGCTGGGCTGCCTGGCAACCAGAAGATGGTTGCTAAGCTGCACTCCTTTAACATGCCATCATGAATGCTAGCACAGTGAAAGAATAATTTGGTATGAACAAAAGCCTATAAAAGAGACTGAGACTTAAGTGCGTCTGGTTTACCCTTGGAGAACAATACAGCTGCCAAACCAATCTGGAAGCTCGGACATCATTGTTCTGTAAACCCCACAATCTGCTCTGACTGTAGGAAGTGCATTTAATGGGAAACATTTTTGATCTCCCCTGAAAAGTTTGGGTTTTGCATAAGTGCTGTTGTGAGATAATTCTTCAAGATAATGACTTGCTGACTAAATTGCTGAATTGAACTAGGGAATATTATTTAATATTGAGCAGTTTTGTTGCTGGATTTTTTTTTTCAGTCAGTATCAGACAGTAGCCTGTATTAAACATGATGAATACCTTATGGAAAATACAGACAGTGAAGATTAGAATGAACATTTTTGACTGAATGCTTTGTAGATTTTCTTAATTTTTCACTTTTCAAAGAAATAAACCCATACACTGTAAAGTTATAAAACTGAAAGGCAACCACTTAAAAAAAGTATTTAAATCAATCCTTCTACTTCACCTTCAGTAGTATTTTTAAAGTACCAGTTGATGGTGGCACCTGATTCTGTTCTACTATGTACTTTATAATATGGCTATAATGGGAAGAGAGGGAGAAAATTGGATTTATTCTTTTCTTTTAAAATATGACTCCACTTAAAACTTTTCTATATCAATACAATTAGTGAACACTGCATACTTTCAGCCTATGACAATTCATGTCATTTGTACAAAACAGTTAAATAAAAGTTTACAATAATTAGGATATTTTTTAATGTTAAGGATAAATGCAAACATGGTCTAGGTTTTAAATTAACATTCAAAATAACCTGCTTGGTAGTGACCCAAATGGTAAAGATCTGATTTTCAAAACTTCAATCTCTAGAATGTGTCTTATCAACTTGTAATTTGTAAAATAATTGCCCTGATTTAATATGGTATTTAAAAACAATCCAGAATTTGACACTCTCTTTGAATCAAAAAAAATTAAATGTTAGCCTAAAGATTTAAAAACAGATACAAATATTTTCATAGCCTACAGTATGTGTTAATGTAGTGGAATGTGTAAACTTACAAGTATTTAACACACCAACTTTATAAAGAATGGTACATGATCTTTACTTTTGTTTATGCCTTAAAAATGACTAATATGCTTGCAAAAGAAAAAGGCTTCAGCAACATTACTGAATATTTATTATGGCAAAGCAAAATTTTTTATTTCTAAATTATGAATGGTTAAGACTTTTAAGTTCTGTATTTACTTAAAATTATCCAACCTTATATAAATATTCATAAAATTTAACTAAACATCTCAACTAATAAGGGTAACTTACTTTCATCAGTGCCTGAAGAACCATAGGCGAAAGTTTCACACACAAAGTAGACCAGTGTGTACTCCCAGAGCTATTGTAAAACTCTAAGAAAAAATGCAAACTTTATATGGAGAGTCATTATAAGTGGTGTTTACATACTATAGGCTTGAAAACAAAAGTTACTGGGCAACCCCCCCCCAAACCAAAAAAAACAAAAAGATAAAAGACTTCTGCAGATCTATTTCTATAGATTTTAAATATCTAGATATTGTACTAGAAATTCATTTTTTCTTATTAGAGACTATCTAAAAATTAAATAATAGTATTTGCTGAAAAATAACTAATTATGCTAATTTTGTGGATGACGATGAAACATAACTAATTCTTTTAATTGTCAAAAAGTAACTCTGAACAAAAAGATAAAAGACTTCTGCAGATCTATTTCTATAGATTTTAAATATCTAGATATTGCACTAGAAATTCATTTTTTCTTATTAGAGACTATCTAAAAATTAAATAATAGTATTTGCTGAAAAATAACTAATTATGCTAATTTTGTGGATGACGATGAAACATAACTAATTCTTTTAATTGTCAAAAAGTAACTCTGCAGTAGCTAAACACAGGTTTAGATATGCAGGCTACTGGTCAGAAATTTATTGCATATACTGAAATTTCTCCATTTAGGGAAACTATTACTTGAAAGTTCTCACTAGAAAACTTGGACAATTCGCCTCCAACCAGGCAAAGCTTATCTTCAGCATTCTAATGAGCATCATATTAATCAGGAATATTAGACCATAAACTTGTTACATCAAATTATTTGTTTATAAAGTTACAATGTCATGAAAGTGGCTCTGGTTGCTATCCAAAAGGCGATACTATGAGAACAATGAAAATAAAATAATGAATATGTAATAAATTCCTCCTGCTATGGTCTCTGAGTATTTAATTACCATTGTATCTGAGTGAGTGCTGTTGTCTGCACCCCCTGGCTAACAAAGGAAGGATGTCTCTTTGAACAGACTGGCTAATGCTCTGGGGCAACAGATGTCTACTGGAACTGCAGGAGACCAGCAACTGGTGGCCTGCCCATCTTCTGAAAACTTTCAATAGACTTATGCAT